ACAGGTGCACACACACAGATACAGTCTAACATATACTGTTGCAGTCACCAATGCAGATACACACACAGTTACAGACACGCACAGTTATAGGCACACACAGTTATACATACACAGTTACAGTCATAGACACACAGATACAGCCATACACACAGATGCAGACACACACAGTTACAGACACACAGACAGTTACAGTTACAGGCACACAGATACAGATATACACTGTTACAGTCACATATACACACACAGTTACAGTCACACAGACAGTTACAGTCACAGACACACAGATCACACACAGATACAGACACATACACACACAGTTACAATCACACACAGTTACAAAATCTGCCTCCTGTATCCTACCTTTAGGTTGCAGGAGAGGAGCGGAATGCTAAGTTTTCCCTGGTATTTAGTGGTTGGGGATCCTGCTTCACTCTCACCAAGCAGCCATTTCCAGGATGCCGTTAAAGTATGGCTGCGCCGGCGGGCAAATTTCTGCAACATCTGCTACTTTGTTGAGGGCAGAGTTGGCACCTTTTCATTTTCAGTGGACATGCTCCCCAGTGCCTTTTCATTCTGCGCCCAGGGCCCATGCTCCCCCAGCCCCTCCCTAGTTTTGAACCTTGTTTAGTTTAACTCTAAATTAAAATATGACAGTTAATTTTATTTCTATAGATCACAGAGCTCCAGATATTAACATGACATGGCAAATTTGACCTGTTGTTAGGAAATAATGTTAAATGAAACCTATCATCACTCTTTTAACTTACACTCCTTTGAAAGGGCATTAAATTCTGTCTATACGTTGTGTTAGCAAATGTATAGTTTGGGGAAAAAAAATATTTTAAATAGGTTTTTCTACCACTTCACAGTCACATTTTTTGTCATAGACTCTATGCTGATGACTTGACTGTGTCAAAGGAAAACACAAGTTTTCCTTCTGCTCTCTGCAAATAGCAACCACAGCTCTTATGCTGTGGTTGTTATAGTAACTCTCTAGCCAACTGCTGCTAGCCCAAGCTAGGGAGTATAGGAATGGAGTGAATGACGTCATTCCATTCCAACGCCAGCATACTGGCAAATGAAGTCAGTGTGTCGGCATCATGGAGGAGGCTTGCCTTGTTTGGAGAAGTCAGTAGGTGGAGCGATGGCGGACTGGAGATGGATGTTACATGAAGAGTCACACCCAGGAAGCTCAGTGGCACTGGAACAGAGGTAAGATGAGTAAAGCTCAATATTTTACATCTCTATAATATATGATGTATTCAATGTATTTGGCAGGAATTTTTTTTTTTTTTTTGTTTGTTTTTTAAATTTACTTAGCAGGTTACCTTTTGTCAATATAATTGATAGCAAATTACATGCATGAGCATAGATAACAATGTATTCCTATTTTTCACAGTGTTTTTTTTTCTCAGTATTCCTCTCAGTGTTCACTCAGATACCATCATCGTACCATGAAGATTACAAATATGGTGTCCACTAAATAGCTGCTATTACAAGCCAACGTGTACAATATATACATGTAACACAGCTGCATCTTACACCACAACAGCGTTTGGCAAATTGTAGAGTGAAACTTACTTGAGACTCCAGGGTTTTTTTTTTTATTTGAATTTATTAAAACATATTTCTTGATTCCTAAATATCCCACACTTAGGGGCTCTACCTTGAATTCCCGAGTCATAGCTCACTCTATCTGTCCGTCTATCTGTCTGTCTGTCATTACGGTTTCATCTCAAAAATGACAAATGGCTACACAGCATATTGTTACAGTTCTCTTCTACTATGTATTTAGATTAGTACATACACATTGTGTATGCCCATGCAGCTTTATAGATGAACACTTTTCCATGAGTGTTTTTTTTTTTTTTAAATAATATTGTTCTCCATTCTACTGGAATACCTTGACGTTTCCCTTTATTCTTTACAATGATAAAAGAATGGTGTTCACATTAACACTGCCTCCCTTGTATACTGCGATAATAATATTGCCGCAAGATAACGATGAACCAAATGATAAAACATTAAATCTTGCAGAGTAACATGTTGTAATACTGACATTACCTTGTATTCTGAATGATTTGCTTTGTGTCGTTATGCATTACATTACCTTGAAATGTTGAACCAAACTTTCTTTTTATTTTATTTGTGCGCTAACATTAACTCATTGACTTCACTTTTTTTTTTGCTGTATCATTTTCTGTACTCTGTTCTCATCTTTCCATTTTGTTGAAAATAATCAACTCTTAAAAGTAAAAAAAAAAAAAAAATCACATTTGGTATCTGCTAGATTCACTATGAGACAAACATATTTTATTCTAAGTATATTATAAACATTTTTAGTCTGAAAGCATACCTCCACACTAGAGTTGAGCGGACACCTGGAACCTGGATGTTCGGGTCCAGCGGGTCCGGCCGAACTTTGAAACAAAGTCCGGGTTCGGGATCAAACTTGACCCCGAATTTGACCCTGAACCCCATTGAAGTCAATGGGGACCTGAACTTTTGGCCACAAAAATGCCTCTAAATAAGTCTTGGAAAGGGCTAGAGGGATGCAAAAGGAAGTAAAATGGGGTAAGAGTAGGACAAGTGCCCTGCAAACAAATGTGGATAGGGAAATCACTTAAAATAACATAAAAATAAAAAATACAGCTGAGCCATAAAATAGCACTAGATGGAATCTTTGATTTTAGCTTTGAAGAACATAAATCTAAATCTAAAGCATGGCTGTCAGGACGATCACCAGAATTATCCATTTGAGAGAGGGTTGGAGTGCAGGGTATTCGCTTTCATTGTTTAAACTGAGCTCAACTCCTGATGCATGGAGAAAAGGCCCTCACAAGCCTCTGCTATTGTGTACATAGTTTATACTAAGTGACCCATAGGTTGAGGAGGCGGTGACCGTGGCGGTGTAGGTGGAAGCAGCGGTGGAGAAGGAGGCAGCCAACACTGTTTTTTATTTGTTTTTGTTTTTTAAATTGTGGTAGCCCATAAAATATTGGGACATACAAAAAAAGAAACATTTGCGGCCTGTGGTGCATTTCTTGCAGTCCTGATGCATGGAGAAATGCTCAACTCCTGATGCATGGAGAAAAGGCCTTCACAAGCCTCTGCTATTGTGTACATAGTTTATACTAAGTGACCCATCGGTTGAGGAGGCGGTGACCGTGGCGGTGTAGGTGGAAGCGGCGGTGGAGGAGGAGGAGGTAGCCAACACTGTTTTTTATTTGTTTGTTTTTTTTTTTTGTTTTTTTAAATGGGGTTGCCCCCAAAATAATGGGACATATAAAAAAAAGAAACATTTGCGGCCTGCGGTGCATTTCTTGCCATTCTGATGCATGGAGAAATGCTCAACTCCTGATGCATGGAGAAAAGGCCTTCACAAGCCTCTGCTATTGTGTACATAGTTTATACTAAGTGACCCATAGGTTGAGGAGACGGGGACAGAGGCGTTGTAGGTGGAAGCGGCGGTGGAGGAGGAGGTAGCAAACAATGTTTTTTATATATATATATTTATATATATAAATATATATATATATATATTTTTTTTTTTTTTTTTAATTGGGGTAGCCCCCAAAATATTGGGACATATAAAAAAAGAAAACTCTGTTCCGCAGAGCGGCTGACCAGTGCGTGCTGCAGCTGAAACTCCACTATCGCCTGCTGCTGCTCGCACAGTCTCATGAGGCGGTGAGCGGGAAGGCCGAAGTTATGCTGCAGACAGATGAGCAGCAACAGGGTGAGAACGCCAAAAGCGCGCACAGACGGCCCGCACTTTCTGCAGCAGCTCTGATATATCTGGGTAGTTTTTCAGGAATTTCTGTACCACCAAATTCAGCACATGCGCCAGGCAAGGGATGTGCATCAAACCGGCTAGGCCCAGAGCTGCTACGAGATTTCGCCCATTATCGCACACCACCAGGCCGGGCTTGAGGCTCAGTGGCAACAACCACTCATTGGTCTGTTGTTCCATGCCTGTCCACAGCTCCTGCGCGGTGTGGGATTTTTCCCCCAAACATATGAGTTTTAAAACAGTCTGCTGTTGTTTCCCCCTGGCTGTGCTGAAGTTGGTGGTGAAGGTGTTACGCTGACCGGATGAGGAGGTGGTAGAGGAGGAGGAGGAAGAAGTTGAGTAGGAGGAGGCGGCAACAGGAGGCAACAGGAGGCAACAGGAGGCAAAGCTGTGTACCCAAATAAAGATTGTCAAACGTTATATCCTGGAACTGTGTCCCATCCGGTTACTGGGGAAATGGGTCTGACCTATTCTAATCAAAGGGGATAACCATCAGTTACCCAGATCCCGCTTCAATTGGTGGCAAGTGGCGGGATCCCATGTCCCTGCCAACAAACCCATGGACTACAGTGCTCTAAAGTGACCTAAACTGCAGGACTTGTGTGGAGCCAGAGGAATAACACCTGGTGGGCGTAACAAGGCCGAATTGACTGCTGCGCTCATGGAGGATGACCAGGCACGCAGTGAGGCAACGAACCCCAGCCAGGGGCCGGGGATGAGGAGGAAGTGCGCAAGGAGGTGTAACGGCGCCTGGCACATTACCGAGAGCCACCCTCAGAGGAGATTGTCAGCAGGATCTTTTTGGAGGAGCAAGCCTATGTCCTTGCCAATAGACAGAGGGCGACCTCCATGAAACCAGATGAAGGAAGAAGGGAGCAGAGGTTGCCGGGAAGCACAACCACACTGGCCCACAAGCTATCATACAATGCCTTCAAAGAGTTCAAGGAAGCAGAAGAAGGCATCGATGACTTTTTACAAGACTTTGAGCGTCAGTGCCTACTCCAAGAAGTCGACCCCAGCGACTGGGTCACCATCTTGGCCAGTAAACTAGTGGGGATGGAAGCGGATATTTACCAGGCTGTACCAGAAGTTTAGGGAGACCTGGAACGGGGGGAAGGACTTCCATGCGGAGTGGGCATGCCACATCACAAGGGCCACCCAGAACTGGCTCAACTCCCATCAAGCCAAGTTCCTGGAGGAGATCACCTAGCTCGTCATGCTAGAGCACTAGAGCACTTTTTCAATGGGCTCCCCAACGACAAGGCGACGACGCATTCGTATGTCATCCATATCAACTTTTGATGCCATTTACTGCGCCTACCATGTTGACCACGGGTAACGGGGAATCAAGGTTCAATTCCTGAGAGGGAGCCTGGGAAATGGCTACCACATGCAAGGAAGGCAGCGGGCGCGCAAATGACCCACTCCCGACACGGGAAGGTAGTGACAACAAATAACAATACAGAACTCTTTAGATGCCCTGTAATTGTAATGAGTCCACTTGAAATCCTTTAACTCTGATCAATTGGAGGGCAAGTCTGGTGCGTGCTGCAGCTGAAACTCCACTATCGCCTGCTGTTGCTCGCACAATTTCTCTAGCATGTACAAGGTGGAGTTCCACCTTGTGGGCATGTCGCATATGAGGCGGTGAGTGGGAAGGCCGAAGTTACGCTGCAGCGCAGACAGGTGAGCAGCAGCAGGGTGAGAACGCCAAAAGCGCGCACAGCCGCTCCAGTGAATGTCACATCCTGTTCCAAGTTGCAGATCAGTCTGGTGATGGCTTTTGGTATCCAGTACTCTTTTTACTGAAGCTGCATCAGGGTCCTGGTATGTGGTCGCAGAGACCCTGCACCAGACCCTGCTAATCCATTCCACACTGTGACTCCTAACTTCAACATCAGGCATACTAGGTCCCGGTCGTCCGACCGCCGCCCAGTCAGTGTCTGGGTCCCAGTCACCGGACTGCGAAACTGCGAACGGCTCATTAAATATGTTATGGTTCTTTTTATCGCTTCAACTGTTACTTGGATAACTGTGGGAATTCTAAAGATAATACGTGCCGACGAGTGCTAGGGGGCAGCCACTCCGCTTTTGCACCCTGCTCCCTCTTATGCTGTGCTGGTGCCTCTGTGCGACCAGCGCCTCTTCCTCCAAACTGCACATGTCACTTGCATGACCTTGATTCCATGTGGAGTGTAGGACCTCATCATCCTCCACATCATCTTCCACCCACTCCTCAACCCTGCCCTCCTTGCCGGTCTGCACACTGCAGAAAGCCACAGCAGTTGGCACCTGTGTTTTCCCAGCATGTAAAGTCTACAAAGGACATATGGAAATTGTTTTAGAATTGTATCCAGGCAACAGTTTTCCCTATAAACTGACCTCTCAGGTTGGCTTGTGTGGGTATTGCCCCCGAATTACAATATTGTTATATTGGTATTTGACGGTTCCATTTGACTGTCAGATATGAAGTGCAGGCCGCAAATGTACTATTTATCACTCAAAAATAATTTGAATTTTTCAAAGTGCGCTGAAAGCACAGTATTTGACGGTTCTATTTGATTCTCAGATATGAAGTGTTACGCAGGCCACAAATGTACTATTTAGCAGCCCAAAAATGTTAATGTTTAAAACTGCTATGTCACAGCACTATTTGACGGTTCTATTTGACTCTCAGAAGAGCACGCCCCAAATTTACTATTTAGCAGATTAGCACCCAGAAAATAAGAATGTTTACAATTGCGCTGTAAGCTCATTATTTGATGCTTCTATTTGACTTTCAGATATGAAGTGCACCCCACTAATGTACTTTTTAGCACCCAAAAAATTTTAAGTTTAAAAACTGCAATGTGACAGCAGTATATGACGCTAGACATGTGCAATTTGTTTCGGTCCGAATTAAAATTCGGCCGAATTTCAGGTAATTCGGACATTCGGGTGCTTCAGAATGTCCGAATAGCTGAATTGCCGAAGTGCCGAATTGCCGAAGTGCCAAAATTACTGAATTTCCGAAGTGTAGTAATGCCGAAGTCCCGAAGTGCCGATTTGCCGAAGTTCTGAAGTTGCCGAAGTTCCGAGGTATCAAAGTGCCGAAGTTCCGAAGGTCCGAAGCACAGTATTGCCTAAGTACTAAAATACTTACCCAGTGAAAGAAGAAGAATATTACATTGTATACAATTTCAAATAAAAACTATACAAACATAGCCAGGATTCAGCTGTAAGCATTTGCAACACTTACAACAATCAAGTAACACACATTCGTATAAAATGTAAGTTACTTAGCCAGTCATGTAATGACAGGAATGAATAAGTAGATAACTCCCTAATTCCCACAGTATTAGGGAGCTATCAACTAAAAGGCTGAAAGACCTGAATTGGTCTTTCAGCCAAATTTACTAATACTAAGTAAAGATTGCTTAGCATTAGTAAATTATGCCCCTACTCGCTGTACCGTGAGTAGGGGCATGTCTATTAAACAGTGAGCAGCATGTGGCTGCTCACTGTTAAAAAATAAATAAAAAAATTAACTATTGCCCCCCGGCCCTCCCCTGAGGGCCCTAAAGAAAAAAAGGGGAAAGGACCTATTGCCCTCTCCACCGGCCCCCACCCCTGAGCTGCGGATGGGGGCCCTAAACAAAAACTCCCCCCCCCTTTTCCCACGCTGTGTAATTTGACTCATAACTCTCTGATTGGTTACTTAATCCACCAATCAGAGAGTTATGAGTCAAATTACACAGCGTAGGAAAATTCCAAAGAACTTTCCCACGTTGTGTAAAATGACACAGAGCACTCTGATTGGTGTATTTCAAACCAACCAATCAGAGTGCCTTGACAGGTAAATGTAAATGTAGAGACTTACCTGTCAGTCTCTTCATTTACCTGTCAGAGCACTCTGATTGGATGGCTTAAACCCACCAATCAGAGTGCTCAGAGCCTAATTGCCTTCCCCCGCCCTGCAGAGCTCAGTCTGCGCTGAGCCCTCGCCGGGTGAAGATGGATTATTTTATTTTGCGCTCGTTTTTTTTTTTTTTTTATTGCGTTGGTTATTATGGATTTTTATTTGGCCTTTTTTTGGGGCTGAAAAAATAAGATTTTAGAAGAAAGAAAACATCAAATGGTAAGTTTATTTTTACAGGTACTTAGTTAAAGGTCCCCCCCTCATTATTTTTAGGGTGAGGGGGGTAGGTAGGGGTTTATTTTTTGGGGGAGGGGGTGACTAGGGGTTTGGGGACCCCTAGTCACCTGGGGGGAGGGGGGTTAAATTTGGATTTGCTCAGGGGTGGGGGCCAGGGGGGAGGACATTAGGTCCCCCCAATTTGTATTTAGGACCCCCACCCACCACTCAGGGGTGGGGGCCAGGGGGGAGGACATTAGGTCCCCCCTTATTCTTGCTTAGGGCTCCCACCCACCACTCAGGGGTGGGGGCCCAGAGGGAGGACACTAGGTCCCCCCCTTATTCTTGTTTAGGGCCCCCACCCACCACTCAGGGGTGGGGGCCAGGACAATAGTTCCACCCCCTTATTCTTGTTTAGGGCCCCCACCCACCGCTCAGTGGTGGGGGCAAGAGGGGAAGACATTAGGTCCCACCTCAATTTGTAATTAGGGCCCCCACCCACCGCTCAGGGGTGGGGGCCAGGGGGGAGGACAATAGGTCCCCCCAATTTGTATTTAGGGCCCCCACCTGCTGCTCAGGGGTGAGGACAATAGGTCCCCCCCAATTTGTATTTAATTCCCCCACCCGCTGTTCAGGGGTGGGGGCCAGGGGGGTGGACAATAGGTCCCCCCCTTATTTTTGTTTAGGGCCCCCACCCATCGCTCATGGGTGTGGGCCAGGAGGTCCCCCCCCAATTTTTTTTTTCCCCCACCGCTCAGGAGTGGGAGCAGTGGGGAGGACAATAGGTCCTCTCCCTTTTTTTTACTTTAGGGCCTCCCTCCACCCACCGCTTAGGGAGGGGGGACTCTTTTTACAATGAGCATCCATTAGTAGGCATGGCTGTGATGGCTTCTAAGGGCAAACGAGTCAAAGACACACAGCCTTTCAAAACGCGCCATTAAATCGCTGAACACCGAACTCCAACCCGAACATACAGTGATATGTCCGTTTTCGGGTCCGGGGTCCAAAAAACTTAATGTTCGGTATGAACCCGAACTTTGCGGTTCTGGTTCGCTCAACTCTACTCCCAACATTTCAAATGGACAAAAAGAGACACTTTAATTTTAGGATGTAATTGGGGATATGGCCAAAGAAGGGACTGTTCTGAGAAATTCTAAAGGAACACTATAGGGTCAGGAACACAAACATGTGTTTCTCATCCTACAGTGTTAAAACCACCATCTAGCCCCCCTTCTTCACTCCCATACTCCCCTAAATATAATAAAATCTTACTTTTGTTCAGGTCGGAAGCTGCTGGCTCTGTCCCTGATCTACCTGCTTGGCCGATGTGATTATTTAAGTCAACCACAATGCTTTCCCATAGGATTGGCTTATACAGTCAAGGAGCCAAATCAGGGGCAGTGCCAGCACAAGCCAAACACAGCCCTGGCCTGTCTGCATCTCCTCATAGAGATGCATTGAATTAATGCATCTCTATGAGGAAAGTTCAGTGTCTCCATGCAGCCCCAATGAAGTACCACTAGCATCTCTCCGAGGAGTGGCCAGTGGAGTTATCCATAGGCTGTAATGTAAACACTGCCTTTTCTCTGAAAACACAGTATTTACTGCAAAAAGCCTTAAGGGAATGATTATACTCACCAGAACAAATACAATAAGCTGCAGTTGTTCTGGTAACTATAGTGTCCCTTTAAGTACCTTACTAACAACACATTATGCAACTAAAATGTTATTTAGAACAAAAGCAATGTATCTTATTTACACAGACTGAATTCCAAACACATTTATTGCAATTTAAAGATAAATAACTGTGAGTATTATTGCTGTGGAGCTCTGTTATACACTCAGACACACCAACAATATGAAACTCCTAGAAAAGAGGGACATTAGAATAGAAAATAGGGACAATAGGGAGTGGCTTTACTCCAACTAAATTTCTCCTGTTGGTTTAATTGTTTGCAAGTGCCATGAGTGTCAGCAGATAAAACTAACGAGTACTGGCATCTAATTATTGTCATAATTCACAAGAGTGTAGCTAGAGCACTCTACAGCTGTATGTGCCAACATGTCAGTCATCACTGCTGTCAATTGTCCAGATGATCATATATATATATTGGCATTACCCAATCTCTGACTCAAGAAGAGGATAAACGTGTCATAAAGCAGATTGCTGTAGTAACCGGTATATAAAATGTCAGTTGCATGATCTCTGACTCCAACTGTGAGTACTCTATAAAGACAGAAGAGACAAAAAGAGAAAATGTGTATTTCACTAACACAGACTTACACATACAATTTTCCTGTTTCAAAATTACTGTTATCTTTTCTGACAAAATGTCAGCACTGTATCATGTTTTTTTAGTGTCAGATCATTTGAATATCACAAACTATACTGATTATAAAACGATAAAATGTTATATTATAAAACAAAACAATAAAATTCTTACACATATTGCAAGT